GTCGCCAGTTCTCAGCTTCCAGCTCCACAGATTGCTCCGCGTACTAAAGTTGCATGTACTACAAAGTCGACGCGCGCGATCTCCGCAGAGGGTTGCGCCGGACCGGGCCAAAACGCACTCTAGCCTGCAATTCGCGCCCTCGACGCGCACGATCCCCGCAGAGGGTTGCCCGCGCCAAACCCAAAACGCACTCTCGCCTGCATTTCGCGCCCTCGACGCGCACGATCCGCAGAGGGTTGCTCCGGACCGGGACAAATCGCACTCTCGCCTGCATTTCGCGCCCTTGACGCGCGCGATCTCCGCAGAGGGTTGCCCGCGACCGGGACAAATCGCACTCTCGCCCGCATTTCGCGCCCTGGACACGCACGATCTCCGCAGAGGGTTGCGTTTCGTGACGGTCCGGCGGCGCTGCCCCCGCCTTAAGAGAGAAAGTTAAGAAGAGCGAGAGGTGAAGATGTGAGATGTAGATGGGAGGTAAAGATGTGAGGATGTGAAGATGAGCAGAGATGTAGATGTGCAGATGTGAACATGAGCAGAGATGTAGATGTGTGAAGATGAAGATGAGCAGAGATGTCAATGTGAGGATGTGAAGATGTGCAGAGATGTAGATGTGCAGTTGTGAATGTAGATGTGAAGATGCGCAGAGATATAGGTGAGAATGTGGATGTGCAGAGGTGAAGATGTGAAGATGTAGATGAGACGTAGTTCTGCAGATGTTTTTTACGAAGAACCCTTCGCAGGCGCTCTCGGGAAAAATCTATATAGGAACAACATGAATAGTGCGAGCGCTTCTTCAAGGGAGCTCCCCCCGGTGTCAGGCAGGGGGAGCTTCCTTTTTTTCCAAAAGCATCTCCGATGCTTGGGTTCTCGTTTAGTCGCTAGTGCCGCGGAAGAGCGAGACAAAGCGTGCGTTGTCGGGGACGGAAGATGGATGTGGAGGTGGACGGGGTTGGGAAGGGAAGAGGGAGGGGAAGGAAGGGCAAGACGAGAGGTGCATGGGTGGGGACGGGGCTGGGGAGGGAAGATGGAGGGGAGCGAGACGGGAGGCGCATGTGCGGACGGGGCTGGGGAAGATGGAGGGGAGCGAGACGGGAGGCGCATGGGTGGGTGGCCAACACGGCAGGATTGTTGCGTGCCAAAAGCGCAATGCGTGAAATTGGATGGTTGGAACGAACCATGGAGGGGCTGATGCTGCTCCATGCTTCCTGGAACGGTTGTCAGAAGCCATGGTGCAATCGTTTTATGACCGTTTTGGAGGGCTTTCAAAACTGACCAAGGGGTGGACGGGGGTGTATATGGCAGACAGGGGTAGACGGATGCGCACCAGAACCGCGATGCTTGAAATATCACGGTTGCCACGAAGCCTGGAGGGGGCTGATGCTTCGTTTTGGCCTGCTAATGTGCGTTTGTTTATTCTTCCTGGGTTGTGCGCTTCTTTTTGCTTTTGGGTCTGCGGGCTCACCTTGTTTTCTCTCAAGCCGGCGCGACAAGGTCCACGGCAACTGTCAAGCATTCCGCGTTGACGGTCAAATGACCACAATCGCAACGACAAGTTGTCAAAAGGCATGTTCCATGACATCGGAGTTTCTTTTGCTCCATATTCAAAAGCCCGACACAGCGTTTCTAGTGTCGTGTTGGCCAGAAAAGTTTCTGCGCCTAAAATCGCACCCTTTGGGTAAGTCTTGCTGTTGCTCAGGTTTCATTTGTCCAACCACAGGGGACCACGACCAACTGCTTCTGTTTGCAGTAAGACAGGCTGGCACGAATGATGCAAGTGTAAGCCTGAAGCGTACTGAGCATACTATCAGGCCGTTGGAATCGCCACCCTTTCACAAAGACATAGACAGCGAACTCAAACTCAGAACCACCAAGTCTGTCACCCAACCTCCATTGCAAGGTATTGCAAAACATGAGGAATGTGCAAAAATTGGGGAATGTCTTGTCCGCCCCATCCGCAAGCATGCTAATGCAAATCTCTTTAGCTCGAAAGGTAGCCAGGATAGATGGTGAAATCGCCTGAGCCCTGTGGCTGTAGCTCCAGGTTTTCATCACATCAGAACACCAATCCACAGAGACATGCGAGGCAAAGGATTGCCCCTGGTTTGCTTCTTGCAACCACCACATAGCTCTCAACCAACCTTCATAAGCACCTGAAAACAGCTGCGTAACATGCCATGGGAGATGCTTGTCAAAGGTGGAGATATTCCAGATCGGCAATGCAGCATCTGCAACAATCTTGCCAACATCACAGCGGTCAGAAGGCTTGGTGAGACTGCCACCTCTAACGCTTGGTGTGAGGTCGACGCCGCAATGCATCACAGGGCAAACCAGCATGAATTGTGCCCATGGATCATCAACGACCGCATGGTCTTTACACATCATGTTTGTGCGACGTACCTGAACTTGAAGAGGAGATCCATCAAGCACATTGGTAACTTCCCCAAACAAAACCCACTCATCCGAAGCACCACGAGATCGGCCTGTTGTGACAATGGCGCACAGAGCCCCTTGAACCGAAGCAGCAAGCTCCTAGCATGGACGCAGAATAGCTCACGCTTCCAGGAAGCCCCCCCTCGCACTAAAGGGACGGGGTAGGGTAGCTAGTACCAGGGTAGCTAGTAGGGAGAGGTGTCTACTACCTACAAGTAGCTCCTAGCATGGACGCAGGATAGCTCACGTCTTCAAGGAAGCCCCCCCTGCCGCACCAAAGGGCCGGGGTAGGGTAGCTAGTACTAGGGTAGCTAGTAGAAGAGGTAGCTACTACCTTACTTAAGCCACCACCTAGGACGCAGGATAGCTCACACGTCTTCAAGGAAGCTCCCCCTAGCTGTCTAGGCCCAAAGCCTTTCAGCTGACGCCCACTCCCGAGGGCCGTGGCTTCGCTGCTCGCTCCACAGCAAGGGCGAAGCGTCCACAGATTGGACACACACTAGTGTCCAGATCGCCATGGAGTTGATGGAACAAAGAGAAATCGGCAGCATGTGCTATGATGGATTGGGCAACAATGGGCATGCCTGCGCGAGCTATCCTGCGTCCATGCTAGGAGCTACTTGTAGGTAGTAGCCAC